TTAATGTGCCTGTCCTTTTAATTCTTAGCCATAAGGCCATCAGTGGCAGATTTCAATCATTTCCTACATTGGCTAACATTGTATTCTGGCTGACTAGATTAGTCTAACATTTTGTAGTTTATATTTGCACTGTTAACAATGTGTGCTGCTGGTATTTGAAGAACATTTGCCTCTGTTCTTTCACTTTAACTTCATACAAGCATTTTTTTACTCTGTGCCAGGCATTCATTGCTTTTCTTACAAATACAAGTCATTTCTTGAGGCAGCTGTTTTTTGAGTTTTCTTTCTCCATTATCCCATCCCCTCTGAGCAAGCATTCTGGAGTTGGTGGTAAGTATACAGGTCTTGGCAATACTCGCCTCCAAAACTGTGTTCGATCAGTCTTTGCCTGGTGTTTCTGGCATGCCAGCCTGAGGTGTTGGGGTTAGCCTGTACTGGATCATGATCATTCTTATCCTCTGTGGGTCTGACAAGCTCACTTTCTAAGACCCTCGGTGGAGCTAATCCACGTGTCTTGGCTATGTCTTATTAGAAGTAATGTTGCCAGGATCATACCTCATATTTATCTTTTGGGGCTTGTACAGTAATATGCCACCAGATCTATCTAGGTACCTGACTCTCATTTTCAAAGTTCCTTTTACGATGGATCTGGTGGTTGGATGGGCAGCATTATTTTTCCTCTGAGAGAGTCTGGGGATTTGAAACAGGAGTCACTAAGCAATGTGTTCTTGGGGATAAGAACCATCTCCTTCACCAAATCTAATGGGAGGAGACTGTCCCCTGTAATTATCACAGATGTTAATTATTTAAGAAAATGAAAAGAAAAAAAGAAAAAGAAAAAAAAAACTTGCCTAGCAGCCAGACCTCTTGAGAATGTAAATGTCATGACATGCTGTTGGGTATTGTGCTACTATGTCTGTGATTAAGAGTTTTTCATCAGAAATGACCTACGTGCTGATAAAATACAACTACTTTCAGTGCCTTTAGGCCATCTAATTTCCTGAGGGCTGGCACCCTGAGTAGAACACGGGTGCAATTGGTAACCCACAGGGCAGATGGAAATGCACTTTGCAATAAATTATTTTATATCTGTTGGTGCTGCCTCTCTCGGGGGAATTTAATATAGTGGCACTCAAATTGCTATATGCATGCAGAGGCATCAGACTGGCTTATCCATGTGGTATCCCTGACAGTTCTCTGGAAGGATGCTGTTACCAGGAGTCCCTTAAGCGTGGTAACTTATGATCACAGGTGTAGCATGGCTCCTGTGTTTGACTCTCCACATATCTTTGTAACATTTTGTAAAGATTCAGAGGAGTTTATATGGCGAAGCAGTGATGAATTCCTCCTTTGGCAAATACTAGAAAATAACTGTAGGCCTAAAAATCCTCTTCTGTGAATACAGCTGAACGGTGCTCTCTCTGTCCAGTGAGCCATAGCCTCTTCTTTCTCGTCTTTCTCTGAGACTGAAGTTAATCAAAATAAAGCACATACAACATTTTGTTATTCTACCAGTCAGCCACAGATTGCTCCCTTATAAGTGTGTGTGCGTGCGTGCTTGTGGCTGTACATTGTAAAATGAATGGTTTAATGATGAAATGCAGCTGGCATGGCCAACCTCCAGTGTAGGCTCTTTGCAGTAGAGAATATTTCTTCCCTTCCACCTACATCCAGCTGCGTTCCCTCTGAGACTACCATTGGAGGCGTTCTTCTTCAGTCACTCTGCTGACACACTTTACACAAGGTGCAAATTTTTGTACCTCTTCCATGGCTTTTTTATACTTCTTTTTGTTAAAACTGTTTGTAAATGTATCCTCAGAGAATTTCCAATACAAGCTTGTAAGATTCCCCTCTCATTGATACAAGAAGCGCATGCTGCCGAATATTTAAGATCACAAGAAGGAGATGTGGGAGAGAAGCCCATTAGTGAGCTTTGAGAAATTAGTCCAGTATGTGCGGCCTTCTGAACACGTGTTTCTGGTGCATACATGGTTTGCACACTGGTACTGTGAATATGAACAGCTAAGCTAAAGGCAAGGACAAGTGGAAGTTTGTCCCAATATGCTTACATCTTATTTCTTTGGGATAAGTTTGAACAAAGCTGAATACAAATCAGCCAATTAATTTTCTTGGCCTAATTAATGTGTGTCTGATAATACAGTGAGAATGTTTTTATTTTACGTAGTATTTTCACTTCAAAAGTGTGGTGCAGTAGTGTGGTCAGATGCTAAGTAAGATTTTGACGTACTCTGCAGGACCCGCCATGTAGCTGCTGCCATTTAGAATAAATTGCATTCCACTGTAGTTTTGAAAACACACCCTCTGCTCTACCTATGCGTTCGGATCAAAAACAGCAGAGAAAATCAAAGACATCTTCTGCGCAGATGCAGTAGTGCTGCTGTTGGAAAAACTGCCTGAGGAACACCTAAAGAGTTCCTTGCAAAGCAGCTTAAGCTGTCACCTGATCTCTCCCGTTGCTCACTGCTTTAACTATATGTGGAAAGACCCAAAACCACTTGAATGGGAGCAGTTATAGGGTGAGAGTGACTAAGAACATGTCCACAGGCAAGAAACCTGCAATAAACTCACACAGAATAAAGTTATTCCAGCTGGAAGTAGTAGGTGGTATTAATAATTGGTACCAACTGATATTTTGGTCAGATCTTAAATTAAGATCTGACTTACAGTGTTGTCTAGCAAAATCAGTGCAGTTGGAGAGTATGTATGTTTCATCCCCAAACAAATATTTTCATGCTTTTCAAGTGTCTGTCATAGCCTCATCACTCTTTCCCTGTAGCTTTTTGTTGTCTGAATGGGTATATGGTTACATGTGTCTGTTAAAATAAAAGGGGATCCTTGTTCTTACATGGTATATTTATATTTCTTATTTACAGATTTTGAGTACCTAATGCCTCATTTTCACAAACTTCCTTCTCTCTCTATCCCAAAGACCAAGTTTTTAGGCCTTCTGGGATGATAAAAAAGGGTGGGAAAGACTTAACGTGAAATTTCTCCACCCTTGAAGCTCTTGGTGATAGATCCCCTAAGTACAGTTTTACGGTCTAGCCATATTTTTGTTGTATAGGTCAAATGTTAATGGTGACACTGTTGCTTTATGATGCCTTTTGCTGAGCAGAAGTGCAGATATTTTTCCTTCAGAAGGTCAAAGTTTGTATTACAAAATCTTATGAAATGTGACTTGAAGTTTATTTTATTTTTGAATACATGTGATGGTTTTAAGATTTTTTTTTCTTCCTTTCACCAAATGATTTTAAACACTCAGAAATAAAGCAGACCAATGGAAAAAAAAAAAAAAAAAAAGTCAAACGATAACTTCAATTGAATAGAAACAGCAACATCACACTTGTGAAAAAGTTTTCAACAGTGTTCTGATTCTCCTCAATCTTTCTGTTCCTGCCTGCTCTCTGACCCTCTGTGACACTAAGATAACCACTCCTAGGACAACCTGCTTTCTAACCAGAGGGCCAAAAGTTCTTCCCTCTCTTCTTCACCTGCTTAAAATGTCATCCTTGCATCTGCAAGATCTACTGTTTAGAGGGACCAAAAACTTTTTTCCTCCTGCCTTATTCCCATCCATATCCATATCCAGGGCCCTGAATATGCTGCTCTCCAGTGAGAGGTAAAGCTTAAATCACTTAATCTGATGCTTTGCAGACCAGCATCATCTGTAGACTGCCAAAAGCCTGCTTTTTTTTTCAGTCTGTAATAACCTAATGGAGTAGATACCCTTTTCTGCTGAAATAAAAATCGAACATTTGGGAGGTGGATCTAATTGCTGAAAATTAACAGTGCTCCTGCTCACATTGTGAAAGCCTAGTAGCCAGGCTAAGATATTCCATTTATATAAGTATCACAGCCAATATAACTGATCTCTACTCTGGTGAGACTTCAAAGGAAAAGACACTAAATTAAGATGATTATTAAGTACAGAATAATCAATATGGTGCAGTCCGTTTTTTCTTAGGGAGGCAAACATGTTGAAAGGGGTAGAAAGGAAACTTGTTGGTATGGTCTAAGTTTGGATTCTAGTACAGGTTCAGAAATCAAACTGTTCTGCTGGCTTGGGCTACTCATTTAATTTCTCCATGCCTTAGTTTTGTAGTAGTAGAAATAGCAATAAAGGAGCTGTAAGGCTATAATTAGTTGATTGGTGCTTGGAGGTCCTCAGTCTAAGGAATGTAATAAACACTGATGAATCTTGTTTGTGACCACAATTGGAAGTGGGGCTAAAGCAAACGCTCTTAAGTTCAGAAGATCTCGATCAAAGATTTTTCCCTGTATTTTATCGTCATGCCATGTGAATCAGTAAATTAGAATCCCAAATCCAAATGTTGAAGTTGTCATTCTGATTTGGACTTTGACTGTTTGGTCTGTTTCTGACCACAGCTAAATACGTTCCCAAAGTTAATAAAATAATAATAATTAAAAAAACAAATATTCAAATTTCATTTAAAGAATGATGCAGTTGCTTATAATGCTAATCTTATAATCCAAAATCATATAGGTTAGACATGATTAATTGAAGAAAATAGGCATAAAAGAGCACTTCTAGAGTACTTGTTATTGTCCAAAATATCTCTGAAATTCTGATGACTAAGTACAGTCTGCTTATCTCTATTTGAAACAGTTCTTTACAGATTCATTATTTCTAAAGGTCTTCTTTCCATTTCTATATAGATATTGTCCCTTCACATTTTGAAGGTTTGAAGAAGAGGATTGTTTTTCGAGTCACACTAAGTAAACATTAAATGCATGCAGGCTTAAAACTAAAGCATGCATGTTATGTAGCAGCAATAAAAAGTGCTCGGCTTGCACGACTTATGATGCTCAAGCATTGCCTTGTTAAAATGCCAAAAAAAAAAAAACTTTTTCTTTGCATTTTTTTTGAAAAGTAAATCTCTTCCTTTGACCTTGCAATACTTAATTTTTCAGGTTTTGGACAAATGATATTTATTTTACTGAATACTTTTATATTACAGATAAGGTGGATGAAATAGTACCAGTTTCCAAGCCATCAAGAATTGCAGACAATGCAACTGTGGATTCAAGAGTGGCAACTATTAAACAGCGGCCTTCTAGTAGATGTTTTCCCTCAGCTACAGATATGAATGTGAGTGGTAGCTACAAAGTACTGCTTTCGCTTCTGAAACTGTATGGAAAGGGTACTTGCTAGTGTACAAAGTTTAAACCGCAATAGAAATGATTTTTTTAAAAATGCATTGTGTGCTCATGCTGATTTTATTACCTTGTAGCCTTGATCTATATTTCTGATAATAATTCATTTAACAGAAGAGCCTTTGGGCTCCTAAAAACTTTTGTTGTATTCTTATATCTACTCTGAGATTGTCATTTCAACAACATTGCTATCTTGGTGTTACTGAAACAGAAGTAAGTGACCTTACTCTGTCCTTAATGTCAGCCAGTGAGATAACGGTAAGCTCTAACTTGAAAGTGTCAGTACAAAACTAAGTACAAACAAAAAAAAAAGTCACTGAAAATTGAAGTATGTTAATTCAGTTTCAGTGCCAGAATTAGTGCAGCCACACAATTTCCACTAATGTGAAGGTTTCTACAAGTTCGGGTTTTTTTATTGTTCATAATGGCCTATATAATATCTTGATGAAATAATATATGATGATTTGTAGGGGAAGAATTAGTACTATAGTGGATAGTAAAAATTTAATTTCCAGAACTCTGCAATTGGATTCCTCAATTGTAGAATTTACTTTTACAGAACTTATGTGTGAAAAAAAAATTGTTCTTCTTGCATTTTAGATGTACTTTTCCATTGCCCACCCCTCGGAAACAGCCCCAGCCCTGATACAAGCACTTTGGTGTTCTCAGCAGCTTAGGAAGGAAGAAAATAGAGACTGTTTCATGACAGAAAACAGATAGTTGTGTGATAACCTATGTTAAAGGGCAGTTGAGTGCATTGGGATTCAGGGGACATTCTGCAGTTCCTAGGTGATAATCTGTCTTTCTATGTAACCTTGTGCAAGGCACCATCTGTGCAAGACCCAGGGAGTAGGTCTGTCGCTCAGTAGTGAAGAGAGTGTATGGCCTGGTGGAAAGTGAACATTAGTACCTGTGCAGTGTGTGGCAATGTTTTGGAAGTGAGTGAAATGAAATGCAATTGCTCAGGCTTCCTTTCTCGCAGCACACCAAATGTGCTGTAAACTTAACATATTGCCTTGTAAATAATTTCAACTAAATCTACTTACAACTGTTGTCATTTTATTAACATATAAGTAAATCTCAGCCTTCCCCTTCTCTTTGCATCCTTCTTCGAAGAACAGCAAATTTGCTGTTCTCCATAAGAATTCCTAAGAGGGTTAGGTAGTGGATTAGTTGATGTGAGTGGACAGTTATTTACATGTGGGAGAAAGTTCTGCATTCTTTAATGCTTGTGGGTTCTTCTGTTTGCTTTCTTATAGTCTATGTATGAGAGACAGGGTATTGCTGTGATGACGCCCACTGTACCAGGGAGTCCACAAGGTCCTTTTCTGGGTATACCTCGGGGTACAATGAGAAGACAAAAATCTATAGGTAAAATGTTCCTCATGCATAGTTCATTTGTGCATTATTCACCTCTTTTAGTAATTCACCTCTTTTTGTACTTTCTTTCTTAAAGCATATTTCTCTAACACCTTTACTTCAGTGAATGATTTCATTTTTTCTTTATACAAAAGTTCCTGGAAAAATAAGTTTTTGTTTAATTTCTACATATAGCTTTAATAGCAGTAGGCAAGTGTTATGGAATTCTGATTTAATTCCTTTCTTTAAAATATTTCCTTTATCCAAAAACAATAGTGAGAAAGAAAAAAAAAAAAAAACCAAAAAAAAACCAACAAAAAAACCCCCAATATTATTGCAGAGTATTACCTAGGGCAAAATGTTACTCATTTTTATTTTGCTGTTGAGACAGAAGTGTTGTAATGCTGTGTAGTCATTTACAAAGTAATCCCTATTGATCAAAGGGAATAAACATCACTTCCATTTCATTCCAAAGAATTGTGTCAATTAATGATTAAACAAAATAGGAAAAAAAAAAAAAAGAGCAAATAAAATTTGAACTTGTTTTGTTCTGGGTAATCTTAGTAGTGATATTTCTCAATTTAAAAACACATTACACTGATGTAAAATTGGCCTTCTAAATTCTCCTATTATCGAGTTTATTTATGTTAAAAGCCATATTTGTAATAATGTAATGTCATTTTTTGAAATAAACCCATATGATTTTTTTCCCAGTAGAATCTTCCCAGTCCCTTTGCTAAGTTTCAGTGCATCTTAAAAATTCATTAGGTTTCTAAGTTGCATTATTTTATGCGTTTGGAAATCGCTGGAGCCAGGCATAAGCTCTTTTTTCATTCAGAACATCTTCCCTCCTCAATAATTGTGGAAGAAAATGTGCTTCTCTACAGCTACCTTGATGATACATAAACAAAACATTTGCCTACACATGAATGATCAGTTTAATTAAAATTCTGTAGCATCCTTTTTAATTCTGGCATCTGGTCTCTGGTTCTCTTTTCAACAAGAAAAATACTTATTGTTTGAATGAGGCAAAAGACCATTTTTGTAATTTCATACAGGCCTCACGCCATGTGAATTACACCCTTGCATTTTAGGCTGGCTACAGAGATGGTACAATATGAGGGATTCCAGTGGAAGGCAGTGTTTTAATATGTTTTCTGATTTTTAGGAATAACAGAGGAAGAACGGCAGTTTTTGGCTCCTCCTATGCTGAAGTTTACCAGAAGTCTTTCAATGCCTGACACCTCTGAAGATATCCCTCCACCACCGCAGTCCTTACCCCCTTCACCGCCACCACCTTCTCCCTCTCTGTACAACGCTCCCAAATCCCCAACGTCAAGGAGCTATGGAACTATCAAACCTCCATTTAATCAGAATTCAGGTGCAAAAATTTCTTTGGTTAGGCCTGAAAATGTGGGAACAATGATGAGGGACAAAGGGATCTATTACAGACGAGAACTGGACCGCTACTCTCTGGACTCTGAGGACCTGTACAGTCGGAGTGCCACAGCTCAGGCAAATTTCAGGAACAAAAGAGGTCAGATGCCTGAAAACCCATATTCTGAGGTTGGGAAGATTGCAAGCAAAGCAGTTTATGTACCGGCCAAACCAGCAAGGCGGAAGGGGATGCTAGTTAAACAATCCAATGTTGAAGATAGTCCAGAAAAGACCTGCTCTATTCCAATCCCCACAATTATTGTGAAAGAGCCGTCCACCAGCAGCAGCGGGAAGAGCAGCCAAGGGAGCAGCATGGAAATTGACCCTCAGTCTTCAGAACAACCTGGGCAACTCCGACCTGATGACAGTTTAGGTGTCAGCAGTCCATTTGCAGCAGCCATTGCTGGAGCAGTGAGGGACAGGGAAAAGCGGCTGGAAGCGAGGCGTAATTCTCCAGCCTTCCTCTCCACAGACCTAGGAGATGAAGATGTTGGGCTAACACCACCAACACCACGTATGAGGCAATCTAAATTTACTGATGAAGCAATGTTTAGTAGTGAAGATGGCTTTAGGCAGCTTATGTCACCATCTCCAATTCCTGCACCTAGAGAGCCTGAAAATCTTTTTAATAGCAGTGATCCCAGCAATCAAAGCGATGCAAGGACATTAAATACTTCGTCCAAAACAAAGGGTACTGAAAACAGTACAGCGGCAGCTAAGTCCACAAATGCATCCACCTCCGATAATTACGTTCACCCGGTCACAGGAAAGCTGCTAGATCCAAACTCACCGCTAGCCCTCGCTCTCTCTGCCAGGGACAGAGCCATGAAAGAACAAACACAGCAGATTCCAGGCAAAGTGGACACTGTTAAGGCTGACCTTAATAAACCACTTTACATCGATACAAAGCTGAGACCCAATATTGAAACGACATTTCCTGTTACTGCTACTGTCTCTAGGCAAAATACTCGTGGTCCACTACGAAGGCAGGAGACTGAGAACAAGTATGAAACAGATGCAGGGAAAGAAAAGAAGGCTGAAGAGAAGAAAAACATGTTGATAAACATTGTGGATACTTCACAGCAGAAGTCAGCTGGCTTATTAATGGTTCATACCGTGGACACGGCAAAGTCGGATGATACACCTGAGGATGAAGAGGAAAAGGGAGCTGAAATGGAACCGAGCCCTGAAAACTCCCTGACAGAGAGGCCAGAGGGGAGCGAGGAAGCTGAAAGTGAGCTGAACGTGCCTGCTGTGCCTGAGCCACCGGCATCTCCCTGCAAAACCATTGTGGCGGCGAGCTCTGTCGACGACCCAGTCATCTTGCCCTTCCGCATCCCCCCACCACCCTTAGCATCAGTTGATATTGATGAAGAATTTATTTTTACTGAGCCACTACCACCCCCCTTAGAGTTTGCCAACAGCTTTGACATCCCTGACGACCGCTCGGTGCCCGCTTCAGCTCTCACGGACTTGATTAAGCAAAGGAAAAACGGCACACCTTCACCTGCGCCATTCGTCACCAGCCAGCCAACCAATTCTTTAGACAGTAAAAAGCAAGTGGGTCTTTCAAACTGTTTGCCTGCCTCCTTTCTGCCACCCCCTGATAGCTTTGACAACGTCACTGACTCTGGGATTGAGGAGGTAGACAGTCGGAGTAGTAGTGACCATCACTTAGAGACAACCAGCACTATCTCAACGGTGTCCAGCATCTCTACCTTATCCTCGGAAGGGTGCGAGAACGTGGATACTTGTACAGTCTATGCAGATGGGCAAACATTTCTGGTGGACAAACCCCCAGTACCTCCTAAGCCAAAAATGAAGCCCATAATCAACAAAAGCAATGCACTTTACAAGGATGCGCTAATTGAAGAAACTGTAGACAGCTTTGTTATTCCTCCTCCCGCTCCACCCCCACCTCCCATCAGTGCGCAGCCCAATATGGCAAAGGTTGTTCCCCAGAGGACATCTAAGCTATGGGGGGATGTGACGGAGGTGAAAAGCCCAATTCTCTCAGGCCCAAAGGCTAATGTTATTAGTGAATTGAACTCAATACTCCAGCAAATGAATAGAGAGAAATCCTCAAAGCCAGGGGAAGGATTGGAGTCACCTACTGGAACAAAAACTGCAAGTCTCAGTACAAGGTAAATGTAAATAACCAAATAATTTACCAAAGCAGTCTTGATTTTTTTCATCTCTCCCTAACTTTTACTATTACACAAGTTAAAAAAGAATGTACCTTTTATTGTACATACTTGTTACATGCATAGTCTCTGATGAACAATTTTACAGAGGGCAAGATTTTCCTATATCACCGAGGTTTCTGTCATCATCACCCTAGGATAAGGGCTCACTCAGTATTCTCCACTTTCCGAGGTGGTTTGCACAAGCCTGTCAGTTGTTTTGACATGAGTTACTTAGATTTAGGTTTAAGTAGCACTCTTTATTTTTTTCCTTTCAAAATGTGATGATAATTTAATTTTTGTTCAGTCTCACGGCTTATTTTGGCTTCAAACAGGTAAAAAAATGTTTTTGTCTAGGCTTACTTCACATTCACTGCACGATATTTGATTTTTACCTGAATCTCTAATAATCCACCCTATGAAGAAGTATGAGGTCTGCTCCAAACTTAATGCCATCTTTTTTATTATGTTGGCCCATGATGTCAGAGGTGGACGTTGATGGTATGGTAGTAGAGGTTGAGCCTCCCCACCATTATTCCATTGCATTTTATTGCTGTGCATCAGATGGCAGCGGAGGGGCAGTCTGACCAAGTGGTGTCTGACATGGAAATGTGTATGCAGCAGAAGTGTGGAATTGAATTCCTCCATGCAGAAAAAGATGCCACACGCTGGCTTTCATTAATGCTTTCTGAACATTTATAGAGACCACATAGCGGATGTGAGCAGAGTGAGGCAGTGTGTGGTGCGTTTCAGCAGTGGTGACAGCGACAGCGAGTCACCTCCGCCAATGTGGATGTTTATGAGTGCAACATGCAAATCCTTGTTCACCACTGGCAAAAATGCATAGTTAATAGTGGTGACTATGTTGAAAAACAATGTTTTGTAGCTAGGAATTTGCTCCATCAAAGTAGTCTTGTTCTGTTCTTGGTATTTGTTGTAAAATGGAAATAAATAGGAGACATTACTTTTGGAGTGAGCTAAGTATGAAGCCATCTTAGAAAATTTCTTTCTGGCATCACTTTGCATTGTTCGTAGTTTTGCTGAATGATTAATTTATTGTCTCTAATCACTCAGCTTTACTGGGTTTAAGTTCTTACTTTCGGTTGTCAGTGCTTGCTAGTGAATAGTAGTGATGTCTACAGGTTCAAAAGTGTGGCTCATTTCACCAAACAGCACAATCCTTGTAGTGCAGTGTAATGCGTTTCCAGAGAAGTTATATCAAAAGGTACTTAGAGTTGTCAGACACCATTAGATAAATTCATAGGTAATTATGTAGTCACTTTTCTCTGGAATGTGGTGAAATTTGCAGCAGTTAAATGGACCTTTTACTGAAGCATTCCGTATTGTTTGTCCTTTCCTGCATCAAAGAAATTGGGTTTTTTTGGATTTTTTTAGTTTTGCTTTTTTTTTTTTTTCGCTTTTTTTTTTTTTTTTTTTTCCCAGCGATATAGTGCTGATTTTGCTTATTAAAAAAGGCAACCCTTAAGTAAATTTTATTATGATTATTCTGCTGGATAATAAATAACCTGGCCTTTGAAAAACTACTGTTCTTCACGTGCATTAAGATGATTTTCTTTTAGGGAAGGGATGGCTCTGTTAAATGCAAATGATTACTTATTCAGAAAGCAGTGTGATCACAAGCCTCAGGGTCAGGCCATTATATTATTTCTTTCAAGCTGTAAGTTATTAAATGGTCACAGGATGGTATGGAGGTTATAGGTCTTTTAGGATGAAAGGGTGGAAGAGAAATGCCGGAATTCTGGAATTCCTATCAGTATTGTTTGACTAATTGGTGTAGAAATTGAGTTGCCTGTATGGGAAAAGCTTTAGTGTAATGAGAACTATACAATGAAAAGATATATAATGGCTGCTTGACCAAGACAGTCTTAACCAAAGTTAGCACAACAACTGAACCCTGCCCATGTAAGTTTGAAAATATCTTGGGTAAGCATAAAATCAAAACTTGTGCGCTAAGTTTGAATCACCTTGCAGATGACTCCAAGAGTTTCAATTTGTTTTATTCTGCCTATGTCTTCAATTTTCTGCTTGGACTTCGTCCTTTTAAGTCATATGAATGTGTTGCCTCTGACTTCATATGTTTAATATGTTTATTATCTTGCATATTTTATATGATAGTTATTTCCAGGTTGCTGTGTAGGTCTTTATCATTATTTTATTAGTTAATAACCAAGGCAATGTACAGTAAATATACTGCATTTTTGAAAGTACTGCATTTTTGAGAGAAAAAAATGAGAAGTAGAAGCAAATAGTTACCTCTTTTCTGTGAAAAGAAATTTATGCCAGTAGAAAGGACACAAAAAATAATTTGCACAACTAATTCACTTTACTTGAGAAATGAAAATAATCATATAAGAAAGAACTATACCATATGTATGTCATTTTAGAGAAAAATCTTGGACAGCAATTGGAAATTGTTTTTCTTTTCTGTCCTTTAGTCTTTTTATTTCTTATAACTCAGCTTTGGCAAACAGTTTTCGTTATGGACTATAGAATCTATAGAGAGAAGTATTGACCTAAAACTTGAACACAGGAAATTCTGTAGTAACACGTGATAAGTATGGTGGAGTACTGGAACAGGCTGCACAGAGCGGTTGTGGAGTGTCTTTCTATGGTGATATTCAAGACCCATCTGGATCTATTGTATGGAACCTGCTTTACTTGGGGGGTTGGACTCAGTCATCTCTTGAGGTCACTTCCAATCCCTGCAATTCTGTGATTCTGTGACTCCATTTGGAAGTAAAAACTCACAAGGAATAATTTAAATCTACTTCTTTCCTGAGAAGTCTGCCTAAATGTGTGTATTTGCAAACTAGAGAGAGGGATCTTGAGCTATAAAAAATAATGAAGTCGAACCTTGTCCAGCTCTGAGACTAGAGAGGGTGAGGGAGGATCAATTTCTGAGCTGGAGAAAGAGTGGGAAGGAGCGAGCTAAAGGCTAGCAGCAATATTATCACAGTGGAGAAGTGCTCCAATTTCTGTTTTTTGTTTTGTTATATATGTCCTGGACTGCCTATGTTTAATATCAGTTCTGCTCTTGGAAGTGCCTACATAAAGGCTGTGGATGCATAGTAAATGCTTCCCAGACAAAGCCTTATTTTAACTGCTTTTTCTTCTACTTTACCATTAAAATGTTAAATAAATTACAGCCTTTCTAGCCTGATCGCATGATTGACACATTTTTTTACAAAGTCATAATGTATTATGATCAGGGAATACCATCTTGCCAAAGTATGAAAGTTAATATTTCAATTGTAAAGCTAAAATTTTTCACTTTTTTTCTCATATTATAAAACGTACACCAACCAATTGTAGAACTTACAGCCCTTTTCTTTGAGGCAGTCAGAGAAAAGGAGCAAGGAATTTTAGCTTTCAGAAAGCAAGGATTCTGCTGAATTAAAGAGGAGTGATGAAAAATGTGTAGGTCTGTTCATATACCCTTCAGCCAAGGAGAAGTAGTGGGAAGTATTATAAATAGTAACGTTGTTCTCAGGCTCACTTGGGTTCTGCTCATAGCACTAGCAGCCTGATGAAATTAAAATATATATTTCTTCATTGTGAAACATGAAGTTATAGCCTAGGAAACTGCTCTAAATACCTCAGGAGTTATCTCTGTACAGCCAGTGGGTATACAAATGTCACTCAGTCACAGCAATTGCACCGTTAGGGCAGCATGAATGTAAATTAAATTGAAAATTGTTTGGGAATAGCTTGTTACAGAAACCTGTAAAATTGATCTTCTTTATATCTTCTTTATATGTTTTTGACAAATGAGGATCATGAAGAGATTGTTCTACAATACTGAGCAGCATTCCTCTCTCAATTATTACATTATAAAAAACCCTAGCCTTCCTTTTTTCAACATACATAGGTTTAGCAGTAATTCCACACCATGTATTTATAGTTTTCTATGTTTTCTATGGAGACACTGAGTTGAAGATTTTTAAATAGAGCATGGAAATGTTTGGCTGGAAACCATCTGCTGGAAGCCATCAGAGGCAGTGACCAGCTGCAGTCCAGGAAGAGGAGCCTGGGAAAGGACAGAAAAAGAGGAAAAAGCAAAAGGATGTGCGAAGGGTTTGATCAGCAGGCTCTGGACCAGAGCTTTTGAATTCACATGGACTCTTCCCACTCTTCACATTGGCCATCACTCACTTTAAGAAATTTTGGAGCTGATTCTTGGAGATGTAAGTTTTCATCTGGTCCATCCATGTAGTCAGGATCTCACAGGCCACAACACCCAGCCATCACTTCCTCCTCTTCTGCCCTAAATTACTTACAGCATCAGCTCAGGGCATTTGAGTACAGGGCCCTATCTGAGCCAAATACTCAAGATTGGGATGGGCTGCCCTGAGTCACATTGCCCATCCCAGGGTTTGGACACGCTCTGTGCTGGGAGATGAGGACACTTCCCACAGCTGGGCAAAGAGGAGGGGAGCACAGCAGCATCTCCAACTCCTGCACTATAAATATGGCAGGGTTACAGATTCTCTTGAGAGGCTACTTCTGTTGTATGAAGCTGCTAAAAGGAAGGAAGGAGAAGGCCAATGCAGGGTTTTTATCAGGTTAAGAGGAATGCTCGCTCTGTGAACCCAGCAGTTGCTTAGCAACATAGTGATCAAGAGCAAGTTGCAAGCTGGCTGCATAACGCCGGCAGGATTAACACAGGACAGCCTGTGGCTGCGAGGGAGAAGCACAGCCCCCAGTGTCAGCATCATGCTTCCACTTCTGCTCTTGTGTGCTAATAAGGAATAATGAACAGCTACCACTTCGCCCTGCCATCACTGCCCCAAAATGGTTGATAGCTTGGAGTAGGGAGGAGCTAGTTCTGTTCTGAAGGTCTCTCCTGCTTCCCAGACTGTGCTCACAGAGCATTCGTGTGTGGCCTCCTGGCAGGCTGAATGTCAGCCTGGCAATGGGAGTGCTCATTGCAGATGTGGGAG